ATTTCCCAAGGGTGCAATCCCAGGGTGTAATACAAGAACCCTCAGTGCCTTAGGGTGTCCCTTCACAGAACTCAACGAAGAAATGTGTTCCACGAACTCGTACTACGTTTCGATCGCTTGAGGGCCAGAGGAACGCTTCAGACATTTGCCGCCAGAATGAACTAAACTCCTGTGGGATCAACCGTTGTTTTTCGGGCTTACGGGAATGTTTGCATGACGGGCGTGCAGATTGGCCTCATGCACTGCGCTAATTCACTTGCTAAGCTCATCAACACATGACATGAACCTTCTAAGCTCAACATCAGCGAAGCTGCTTGAGTAAAACCAAGTCTTATCTTCCTGATATCGGTTTGAGCCTGGTTACATTGTTCTCTCTACAGACTCCTACGGCAAAGCTTCACAACTCAGGAATATCAAAACTGAGCACGCCCCATTTGGCTTGTTCAAGAAGTGGTTCCTTCATGGATCGAAGAGCTGCACGGCCAATCCGCGGCGTCCCCCGTTTCCCCCTTCCCCTAGTCCCCGTGGGCACTGCCACGCAGGTGAACCGAGGACCTCCGGGGCTTGTACTTCGGCGAACCGCCTGCCATCCGTGCCATGGGACGTCAGGCCGCTTGCCGCTAGGGTCCGTCAGGCCGTTTGGGTCAGTCTGGCTGAGTTGATCACATGGAATCCGTGACACCGACTCCGGCCATGAAGCTCGTCCATATCCCAGCAAGTCAACAACCCTCACGGCCGAGGCGCAACAAAAACGATCTTCCAGGCTACTCGAAGCCAGCCACAGCTGTCTACGCACCCACCCATCTGCAGCTCGCGGCGGCACCTTCCATACCCCAAACTTGAACCCTACCCCGATGCCATAACAACCCCCTCCCTCCTTGCCTTGAGGTCCCAGAAAGTTCCCCAAAGCCCAGAACCCCAGATCCTCAGCCGAATAAGAGATCCTGCTAGTGCGCTGTTTGCGCCTTTTTGAGGCTTCCAGTCTTCACACGCAGCAACCCTTCTCCTGTCTGTAGCTATGGCTGGAACGATTTGTGACTAGAAAGGGGCTGATTCCACATGTTGTGTGAGACATGGGATTGCACGAAGGCCAAGTCCGTGCAAACCAAGAACGCAACCTCCCCCCCACGAAAAAGAAGACTCTGTGGGCAACAAAATACGTGTCAACCCTTGAGCCACCTGCTTCAAGTTTAGTCAGCTCTTGTACGTCATAGGGAGCTACGTGGCCAAGCCCCTTTGCCAGGCCCGCCTGTAGGACCAGGTTCGCCATCTGCGACTGCACACGGTTGCCTTGCTGCACGGGCGATGTCAGTTGAATCGGCAAACAAGAACAAAAAGCAAATAGCCGCGCGAATCCACAAAATGAATCCAAATGAACAAAAACCTTCATAAAGCGCGAGCTCGCAAACTTCTTTTTCTTTGCGAGCCCGCCTTTAAACTGCAGGTACAACTGATGGGCACAAGCAAGCCACTCTTGGCGCTTCGCAGAACTTTGGGGTTAGATTGACAATTGAAGTTTCCTGCCTGAAACGCCCCTTTCGTGCAAGAAGAACACTGAAACCACAATTGCCAGGTGAGTCATACTCAAAACCCCTTATTAGAATGGCCTACCCAGAACCAATCTAAAGAATTAAGAAGGCGGCCGCAACTAATTCCGGCTGGGACTTTCCCTACTAACCTTCATCTACCCGGGTCTTGGCTGTGGCTCAGGTCAGCAAATCCATGCTGCGACCGTCGCCCGTCTTGCGAGCTGGGACCCGGCGCCGGAAAAAGCATGGAACGACAGCCAGGTGCTCGGGCCCAGCCTGGCGAGTCATCGGGAAAAATGACACGAGCCAACTCAACTTGGAGAGATCGTTGACCCGGCTGGGGGTGCACCAACCGTGAACATGTGAAGCAATGGTGATGACGATGATGATGATGATGCTGATCATCCTCATCCTCATCCTCATCCTCATCGTCATGGTCATGGTCATGGTCATCGCCATCGCCATCATCGCCATCATCATCATCATCATCATCATCATCATCATCATCATCATCATCATCATCATCATCATCATCATCACAGCAGCAGCAGCAGCATCACTTTTCGGACCAGAACTCACTGCAACTTCGACACGCACCACCATGACATACCATGGCGCAGTTCTGCACTAGGTGCGTTCAAAGCATGGCGGCCCGAGTAATTCTCGCAACGGATCTCTTGCATCCAGCGGTACTACTTCGTCACCGACGCGCCCTTAACTGGGGATCGCGCAAACGGTGTCTCTCCCGTTTGCAACTTTGGGCGTTTTGGGTTTTGTTGTTGGCAGCAAAGTACAAAAACCCTCTCAGCACATCTGGTGCTTCTTTTTCCATTTCTGCCTGGAAACGCCTGAAATCCAAACCCGTTACGGCGTCCTGGTTATGTAAGGGCCCTCTGAGGTGGGGTTATAAAAGCACCTCAATCGGAAGCCTTTGGCAAGCGCACGAACATGCACGAACTCTGGGACGCATAGCTCAACAAACCCCAGCCAGTACTTGAGCGGCTAATGGGCGGAGTGGCGTTGCTTTGAATTTCCGAATATTGGTTTCCACTGTGCTGCCCGGTCGTAATATTGCCTGCAATTGATTGGAATTGTCAGCAACAAATCCGAAATGGCTGTGGGTCGAAAATATGTACCAAAATGTACCCAAAATGGAACCCTGGTAAAAATCCAACTTGGACTACAAGCTGCGGTCTTTGGTGATGTTTTCTTAATTTTGACCCACACCCCAAATGACAAACATCGTTCCTGGTGACAAGTCCCAAGCTTGGCACTGGACACCGGCCTCTGCACCAGGGAGTCGGCAGCAAAGGCCTTCAAAGCAAATTCGCACAGGCAGGGTAAAAAGACTGCTTGGGGGCTGGTGAAACAGTGCGGTTGCAAGCACTAATGGACAAACGGATCGAGGAACGTGGTTTGACACTGTTTTTGAGCTGACATGGGAAGGCGTGGCGCAAATGCAATAAAAGAAAGATGCGTCCTCTTGTTTTAGGCCATATGGGAGGACATGGCACTCAGCTGGCACCACCTCCGTTGTGTTTCGGTTCTTGCCCCACGTGACTCAGCGATCTGCCCAGCATGCGCCTTTCCCGCCACTCGCTCGACTGAACCACCCCCCCTAACAGTCGCTCAGCTCGGCCTGGAAGGGGTCGGAGGCCTGGCGGCCTGCGAAGGACAGGCCCAAGGCCATGACCTGAAGTCGAAAGCGTGCAACGCGTGGGGCGGCATTTTGCCGCCTTTCGAACAACTCAAGGGGACGCGAAACTCAGAAGGCACTGGGTGAATTATAATATTTCACCAGCCTGAAATAAGGCGGTTGGAGGGATATTCCACACACAAACCACCATTTGGGGTGAGGTCGTGTGAGGTCGCTACAATTCACCCAGGCACCACATGACCCAGGTTTGCCCGTCCGACTGCGGCCTCTTCGGCAGATGGCGTGAAGTCGTGCTGGCGCAGTGACGCTCCTGCCAGGCGGCATGGCCATAAGCCGGTTGCGGGGCCCTCCCGCCGGTGGCAGCACCTGTCACACGCCCAGGCTGCACGCTGCACTTTGTTTCACGCCAATCCATTAACGACACTGCGCTGAAGCACCCGTCATGGCCGTCCTTGCAGCGCTCTAGTTGGAAAGCGCCTAAAGCAGGCATCACCCTCACGCTCTCTAGTTGGGCATGCAACATCTTCCCTAAATCTCGAGCTGCACCAAAAAAAGAAGGAGGCAGCGGGTTCTCGCCCGAAACGCCCTTCGCGTGACACGTGCGGCCCAACTCTCTCCACGCTCCGGGTGGAACATCGGCCTCGGCCTCGGCGAGCCGGGTAACAAACCGGCAGCTCACCTTTCAGCCTTTCGGGTGACAAAGGCATCGGGCGAGACATTGGCCAAAGCAACCCGAGACATTCCCTTTACACCGGGGCACCATCAAACGGGGAACCTGGCGCCTGACCAAACCTACAAATGCCTCGCGCCATGCAAGTCCAAAATCTGATGAGCTTAGCACCCCGCGGCTCTCATGTCGACTTCGCCTGGATTTGGCCACCCTGGTCTCAATGCACCATAGGGACGCTGGGATCCAAAGCCGGAACGCTACAAACCGAAACACAGCTGCACACAAAATATGGCAGTGGCATATTGGACAAGCTAGCTAGCAGTGGACCAGCCTCTGCCCAGTAACATTTGCCTTTTTGCGCCGTCCAAATATCCAGGCAACACTCACCAAAAAAACCAACGCTGCTCTGGAAACGCTGCTTAAAACTCAGCAATGGTGTCCGGGACCTTCTGGTTAGCATAATGGTTGGCATTCTGTCGAAGGTGCCGATATTCTTTCTGCCTCTTTGTTGCTCTTGGTCAGCAGGCCTACCGTGATTGGAAGAGTGCGACCTAATATCTTCCCAAATGGCACAATGGAACACACGCATTTGCACAGCTGCCGCGCTCTGGGGCTAGCCAGTTTCGCAGCAGAGACGCAGCAAAGATGCAAACCCACATTATGTACTTGGGGTAGGCTGGTGTCACAATTGCCCCGCACTCCGCCTTGGCAGCAGCACGCTTTTTGGCAGCTGCCTGGCACCAGGGCTTGTGGCTGTCATGCTTTTGCAGGCCTGGCGCAAAGGGTGCCTTCGCAAGAAGCTCTGGTCTTCCAGCACATCTTCGCAATGTCCAAGTGCACTTACATGTGGCAAATAGCCAAGTTATGAGCAACCAGCGAATCATTCAAGTTACACATCCAACCCCTGTTCAGCCATGACTGCTCAACGGACCAGGCAATGTGATTTGGCGTCGGTCGCTTCGCGTCAAATCTATGGACACATATTGGGTAGTTTGAAAGCCTGCCACGATTCTGTAACCAAACTGACGGCCTTAATGGAAATCTCGGCATGGCTTCGAAACAAGTCGAGACCGAGTGGTGAGACTGCAAAGCTGTACTTGTTTCACACATCTGAAGACTCCATTGCGCATGCAGGTGTCGCGGCTCAAGTGACCACTGACTTTGAGTACAAGTGTTTCAGATCCGGCAAGCCGCCCAGGAAGTTCTTTACTTTGTGCGTCATGCCTTTCTTCTTCTTCGGCTCCGGCATGGGCGCCGGCGGCATGCTGGAAGTGTCCGGAACTCCGGGCGCCAAGGCGGCCGCGGGGGCGAGGCCAACGGAGCTCAGGGCTTGGGACAAAACGTCCGCCTCGACCTCAGCCTGCGGCTCGTGAGAGGGCTCCGCCAAGAGACCCCAGTCCGCCTCGATCGGCTTCGCCTGCCGAGCTTGGGCAAAATCCGAGCCAGATTGGCTCGGGAGCTTGGTGCTTGCCAAGTCCCAGGGTAAAAAACCAGTCCAGCCTTAGCCTTGCGAGCGAAGAATTGCCTTGGAAGAACTAGAAGCTTCCCTCTGATTGGTGCTGAAGGAGGGGTTGCCCATTTACCCTCTACAAGAAACCGGGGTTCAAATCCCCAGTTCCCACCAATCCAAACCACCAATTGCGAGATACCTGAAAAAGAGACCCTCGCTTTGGGGGGGCAAAACAAACATCCAGCGTGGCACATTCTGAGCCAGGCGACCCTGGCAGCAAACAAAAACGCGCCTGTGCCGCGATGGCCTTGGGTGAGCTACCAGAAGGAGAGCTTGGAGCGCTTGCATCCTCCAGGGGTCCAGGGTTAAAACCCCGGTGGATACCTCCACAACCTCTTGGAGGTATGCCATGCTCGTGAGGGGGCAACGTGTCAATGATGCCATGTTGCCAGATCCGGTAGTTTGACACCTGCGCGCCAGGGGTAAAAACAACAGCTAACACTGACACTTCCAAGATTCAAACAATGAGGTCGCAGCCTTCGGTGCATGCAGGCGCAAACATGCATCCATGCGAACAACTCTTGTCAACGCCCGTCCCAGCCAGCGCAGCCCTCCCTGGCTAAAGTGAGGCAGTGGACAGCAGACGTGCTGCACACCCATTGTTTACTGATGTTTGGTGGAGCGTTGCTTGGTTGCGATGAAGGGCACTTCTTTGGAATCTGGTTTAGGGTGGGTTGAGAGCCGGTTTACACTTGGTTCTGAGGTTGTTTCGGGTTAGTTTAGGGATGTTTAGAGTGCCTTTAGCCGTTTAGGGGGTTCAGGGTTGGTTTTGGACAGGTTTGTAGGGGGGTTTGAGTCCTTCTGAAGACAGGGCTGCCTGGATTCCCTCCACAGCTATCTCATGACGAAGCTCGCTTCCAGTGCCCCAAAGGTCTGGTACCAAAGGGAACCTCCTTTCCATGGCCATAACAAGGTGTCTACAGGTGTCCAACCCCCAAAGGATTGGCAAGGAATGCAGGCCTTGTCCTTTGGCAGCTGCAGGTGCTTCCCCAGAGCGTTAAAGAAGTGCTCCCGCACCTTCGATCCGAAGCCACCCTCCTGGCCGGAATGCAAAATGGACGCCGCCCGCCTGGGAACGTGACTGTTTGACCCCGCAGAAATCCACCATGACGCAGGTTGTTACGTGTGTGCTGCACCCGAAAGTGGTCCTCTGCACCTATAAAGTGGGGGGGGCTCTGGCCGAGTCCCTAGCTGACTACTCCTAATGTCGGACCTGCTTTCATAATTGGGGAGGGGCCGGGGATTAGGTCATTAGGGGGGTAACTGGGTAACATTGAAGCAAACACAACTCCAGTGTATTGATAGGGAGCTTCCTCTCCAAAAGTGATGCTTCCCCGCATTTCACCCAAAAACGCCCCCTATTCATAAACTGGGGTTGACGAGGTCCTCCAGTAGAGAGGTTAGAATAAGGGCACCCGATTTTTTCTGTAGTCTATTTTAGTAGTGGACTTTCCCAACCAAAAAAGATCAAAGAAGAAGCGGTGAGAAATGGCACCTAGCTGGGGGACCTAGTTGATGTAAATGGGGGGGGGTTCCCTCCAAAAGTGACGGCTCGCCACATTTCACCCAAAAACACCCCCAAAGGCCGCTGGGAGGAGCTCCTATGCCAAGGGACACCCCCTGATTAAACTGGGCTTGATGTAACTACGGGTCACCCCCTCAGCTCGCGCTCGCGCTCTCGCCCTCCCCTGCCTGGCCGTCCACCCCGAGCTGTTCGAAGGGCACCGGGCCCGGCGCTCCCTCCAAAAAGTCCCGGGCCTCTGGAGGCACTTGATCCAGCCACGCCTCCCAGTCCGGAGCCTGAACAAGGCAGAAGATCGGCTCAGGGAAGGAGAAGATCCCTATCGGAGCTGAATGCTTTGGATATCTTTGGATATCTTTGGATATTTGTAGTGTTTCCTTTTTTTTCTCTCTCTCTCTCTCTTTCTCTGTCTCTCTGTGGTGTTTGTTTGTTTTGAATGTAAAACTATGATTGTGGTTGTTTCTGGAAGGCAGCCGGATCACTTGATGAAACATCCCAACCAAAGCTGCATTCAGCTGCATTCATGGATTACCATTGTCTGTCAGCGTGTGGCACAAGGTTCTTGCAGCACTCTCTCTCCGGCGATCGCGCCTTCCGTTGGCATGCAACACCCACTTAACATTGGGAGCCAAACCAATGGCCGAAGCGCTTTCCTGTGGCATGCAACACCCAGCACTTCGGACCCATGGCCGAAGCGAGCGCCGAGCGCCGAAGACTCGCCTCCCCGTCCTCTGGCTCAAAGCGGGGAGGTTTCAACGTCTGGGCCCAAGTCTCCACGATCTCCGAGACCTTCTGCCGGAGACTTTGCTGTCCGGCCGCTGCTTGGACTGGCGCAAACTCCCAGTCCTCGTCCTGGTCGAACCAGCCAGGAAGTCGTGTCAGTCCATTTTAGCAAATGGGGCGTCCATGAGTGTTGATAGATTCCATTACCTAACAAATGGCCGTGGGTCCAAAATAGGTACCCAAAATGGAACGCTGGTAAATGGAAACATGGACTAAAACCTGCGGTCCATTTCCTGGTGGTTTAAGTTTGACTCATACCCGAATGTTCTCAAATAGGAAGGAAAGGAGATGCATTCCAAAGGAACCCTGACCTCCTCTGGCGCCTTAGCCTGGCCATCGGCCGCAAACTGAAAGTCGGCGAAGTCACCATCCTCACCTCGTGGGGAGGATGGGCCAGCCCCGCACTAGGCAGCTTGCAAATCGCATCAAACTCAGCACTGGAGGCCTCTCTCACACGGAAGAACAAACGAAAAATGAATATCTGTTTTCCAGCCAGCTCGTCAGACCAAGAGGTTGCTAGTTGCTGTTTTCTCTTGGTGCCGGCTCCGCAGGCAAATGCAAAGATGCTTGCTATCGGCTTCTGCTCCGCACTGGTGGACGAAATGCAGAAACATATAGCTGTCGTAGAAGTAGCCGTGATCGTGGCACCATTGGGGCCAAACACGGTCGCTTGGAATATTGGCTGAATTTGGCCAATGGCCTCGCTACTCGTTTCCTATCGCGCTTTGTTGCAGGCTTTCCCCAAAGAGTCGAGAGAAGATGCCTGCTTTGCTCACTGCCCTTCGACCCGATCAACAGGAGCGTGCCTGAATCAGACTCCTGCGCCGGCATGACAGCTTCCGGAACGTGGTCTCCACTCCCTCCGCTGCCTGCGCCGAAACTGCCTCCCGCTTCCTCAGCAAACCGCTGACACATCTCCGATCAACCCCAGCCACCTCGCAAGCAACACTGTTGCAACTAAGCCTCTCTTTCTCGGACTTGTATGTGGGATGCTGCTGGCGAATGCCCATCATCCCCTCCGACGTCTGGCACATGCTCTTCAGGATTCTCATCCGTGCCTCTGCAAGCGTTTACACTTGGACCTTGCGTTTGCCCGCCATTTTGCACCCAATTCCATGAATGTTGACCTGCATCGCTGTTTCCCTGCCAACTTCCGACATGGTCTGGCGTGCTCCGCGTGGATTTGAACTTGCTTTTGACAAATCTGATGAATGAGCCGTAGTTGGCTTCAAGAGCCCGTCGCAGCAACCAAAGCTTTGTATTTTCCAGTGGGCTCAAGGCTGTCTAGCATGCCGCTTGGGTGATGCGGGGCTTCAAGTCTAGTTGGCGTACTATTTCAAGCTTGCTTTGATTTGCTGCTCTACGGCAGCTTAGTTTCGGGAGCTAGCTGTCCTAAAGGTATGCTTTCGTGGTTTGGCGAGCTTTTCGCACGGGTTTGTGGGAGCTGGTATTTTGCGAAGATTGTGGTATCGTAATTCAACAGAATCAAAGCCACATTCTCATGACACATGGATCCATTTGAACTTCGTCTGGCCTTGGAACATTTCAAGACCTTTTCGCACCCTACAAAGGCCGCCAAAGCCAAGTACACAACGAACATACTATGTTTTATTTAAGACTCGCCTTCGTTGCGGGTGTTTACCTTTTTCCACTCCAATCAATATCCCCCCTGCGAACCCTCTTGGTAGCAGCTCATCTGTGATTTGGATTGGTTTGGAGCAGGACCCCTCATAATTTGACGTGCCTGCGTTTCGGGGCTTCCATTTTTATAGTGCAAGTGTGCTTTCAGGAGTGGACTTTGTTCGTTGCTTCGTTTTTGTTTTTTTTTTTGCGTTTGCGCCTTTGTTACAAGCCTTGGGTTTGAAAGCGTCTAGCTGGAATCCAGCTACTGTGGGGGTGCGTGGACGGCTGAGAAGTTGCAACGCTTCGCCCACAGGACATTTCTAAGGCAGCCGTTGAACAAAAAGAACATTAGCAAAACCAATGGTACCATGGCCAGATAACAGTAAAGAAACAAAGCACCACCGTGGCAAACACGCATTGCATGTCCATTCCCGCCTCCTGGGCCCATCACCGCGCGTCTGCTCGTAGGGTAGCCGGAACCCCCGCTGTCCCCGCCGCCACCTGCCTCGCGCCTTTGAGCGCCGGGGCCATCCGCGGCAAAGTCGCCCCCGGTGCCGCCGCCAAAATCTGCGCCTCAGCCCGGAAATCTGACTGATGTGATGCAAAACTATCGCTTCAATGCGTATACTTGAGCTTGCACCTCAAAGAAGTTCTCTTATTCTTAGAAGGCGCTGCCTTTGCCGAATTACAAGCCGCACACACGCACACACACACACACACAAACAGCCCGCTATTGAAGACGAATTGTCAAAAACAAAAGGCAGTTGCCAAAAAGATGCCAACAAAAAATATCCTAAGGTAAACAATCTAAGCACATATGTGCCCAGCCTTGGTGTGCCAGCTCCGCTCCCCTCCCCACTGGAAGCTCTGGATGCTCTTCCGTGCCACCCGGGCCCTCCTCGCGAAAGGAGGCGAACTGCAACGAAGAGCCGTCCAGATCTGCGGCTGCACGGTCGCCACCGCCTAGAAAAAGCTGGAAAAAAACATCAACACAAGGATGTCAAGGTGGTAAGCGCACACATCTGTTTCTCCATTGCATGGCGACTTCTAAGAAAACACCTCTCCAGTTGAGCTTTCAGTCTATCTTTATAACTCAAGTTAACTAGAGGGGCTCTTCCCACGATTTGCCCGTCACAGAGCCATTTTGGGGAACTCTCAAGAACAAATGCTCCTCCCGAACATGCAAACTGCTCGGCATGCCTCATGCATATCTCGGCAAATCCTGGCCTTGCCGTGGCAGTTCGCCTCCTCTGTCTGCCTGGACCTCTTCCGGATGCTCCTCCGTGCCACCCGGCCCTTCCTCGAAAAAGGCAAACTGCAGGGAAGAGCCATCCAAATCCCCGGCTCCACGGTCGCCGCCTGCAAAAAGCTGGCAATACATTGATCAGTCAATTGCTCCAGCCGATGCCCAAAACACAAGATGCTAACACCGCTAGCAATGGCTCCAAAAGATCAAACAAGCTGCACATGCCAATGGTGCCCAAGCCTTGGTGTGCCAGCTCACCTCTTCTGCCCTGAAGCTCTGGATGCTCCTCCGTGCCACCCGGGCCGTCCTTGCGAAAGGAGGCGAACTGCATCGAAGAGCCGTCCAGATCTGCGGCTGCACGGTCGCCACCGCCTAGGAAAAGCTGGAAAATGACATCACAAAGGTGTCAAGCTGGTACGGACATCACAAAGGTGTCAAGGAGGTACGCGCCCATATCTGTTTCTCCATTGCATGGCGACTTCTAAGAAAACACCTCTCCAGTTGAGCTTTCAGTCTATCTTTATAACTCAAGTTAACTAGAGGGGCTCTTCCCACAATTTGCGCGTCGCACAGTCGTGCAAAGGAACTCTCAAGAACCCATGCTCCTCCCGAAAATGCTAGCTGCTCGACATGCCTTATGCATACCTTGGCAAATCCTGGCCTTGCCGTGGCAGTTCGCCTCCTCTGTCTGCCTGGACCTCCTCCGGATGCTCCTCCGTGCCACCCGGCCCTTCCTCGAAAAAGGCAAACTGCAGGGAAGAGCCATCCAAATCCCCGGCTCCACGGTCGCCGCCTGCAAAAAGCTGGCAATACATTGATCAGTCAATTGCTCCAGCCGATGCCCAAAACACAAGATGCTACAACACCGCTAGCAATGGCTCCAAAAGATCAAACAAGCTGCACATGCCAATGGTGCCCAAGCCTTGGTGTGCCAGCTCACCTCTTCTGCCCTGAAGCTCTGGATGCTCCTCTGTGCCACCCGGGCCCTCCTCGCGAAAGGAGGCGAACTGCAACGAAGAGCCGTCCAGATCTGCGGCTGCACGGGCGCCACCGCCTAGAAAAAGCTGAAACATGACGTCACGAAGGTGTCAAGGTGGTAAGCGCTCATATCCGTTTCTTCATTGCATGGCGACTTTTAAACAAACACCTCTGTAGTTCACCATCCAATTTTACTTTATATTCGCCTCGGCCCCCAGGGCCGGGAAGCGGTCAGACCCCTTCAGAACCTCTTCGCTCCAAAATTCGTCACCCCCCCCATCCAATTGCCAATTACCCCCCCGTAAAAACCGTAGAAATTAGTCCTGTCAAATCCCCTCTGAAAACAGGTCCAACTCCCGTCAAATCCCAAGAGAAACCGTCAAAAGCAAAAAAAAAAGCCGTCCAATACCCTAGAAATTTGGACCTGTGCTCGGCCCACAATTCTGTAGCTCTCTGCGGCTCTCTGTCTGGTTATTGAAGCCAGGTGGACATGCGCCCACCCGCTAGCCTGGAAACCAGCTCACGCATTTCGGCGCCGACTCACTCACTTTAATAACATCACTTCAAGGCAAACTGAAGCACAGTATATACCTCAAAGCCAGCCAAGAGCAGACTGGCCGAGGCGGGCAACGCGAAGCGTTTACAATAACTCAAGTTCACTAGAGGAGCTCTTCCCACGATTTGCCCGTCACAGAGTCATTTTGGGGAACTCTCAAGAACAAATGCTCCTCCCGAACATGCAAACTGCTCGGCATGCCTGATGCATATCTCGGCAAATCCTGGCCTTGCCGTGGCATTTCGCCTCCTCTGTCTGCCTGGACCTCTTCCGGATGCTCCTCCGTGCCACCCGGCCCTTCCTCGAAAAAGGCAAACTGCAGTGAAGAGCCATCCAAATCCCCGGCTCCACGGTCGCCGCCTGCAAAAAGCTGGCAATACATTGACCATTCCCTGCAACAATACTTTGATCAGTCAATTGCTCCAGCCGATGCCCAAAACACAAGATGCTACAACACCGCTAGCAATGGCTCCAAAAGATCAAACAAGCTGCACATGCCAATGGTGCCCAAGCCTTGGTGTGCCAGCTCACCTCTTCTGCCCTGAAGCTCTGGATGCTCCTCCGTGCCACCCGGGCCGTCCTCGCGAAAGGAGGCGAACTGCATCGAAGAGCCGTCCAGATCTGCGGCTGCACGGTCGCCACCGCCTAGGAAAGGCTGGAAAATGACATCACAAAGGTGTCAAGCTGGTACGGACATCACAAAGGTGTCAAGGAGGTACGCGCCCATATCTGTTTCTCCATTGCATGGCGACTTCTAAGAAAACACCTCTTCAGTTGAGCTTTCAGTCTATCTTTATAACTCAAGTTAACTAGAGGGGCTCTTCCCACAATTTGCGCGTCGCACAGTCGTGCAAAGGAACTCTCCAGAACCCATGCTCCTCCCGAAAATGCTAGCTGCTCGACATGCCTTATGCATACCTTGGCAAATCCCGGCCTTGCCGTGGCACTTCGCCTCCTCTGTCTGCCTGGGCCTCCTCTGGATGCTCCTCCGTGCCACCCGGCCCTTCCTCGAAAAAGGCAAACTGCAGTGAAGAGCCATCCAAATCCCCGGCTCCACGGTCGCCGCCTGCAAAAAAAAGAGGCAATACATTGTTCATACCCTGCAACTATCCTCACAACCGTCAAATTGTTCCAGTCGATGCCCAAAACACAAGATGCTAACACCGCTAGCAATGGCTCCAAAAGATCAAACAAGCTGCACATGCCAATGGTGCCCAAGCCTTGGTGTGCCAGCTCACCTCTTCTGCCCTGAAGCTCTGGATGCTCCTCCGTGCCACCCGGGCCGTCCTCGCGAAAGGAGGCGAACTGCATCGAAGAGCCGTCCAGATCTGCGGCTGCACGGTCGCCACCGCCTAGGAAAGGCTGGAAAATGACATCACAAAGGTGTCAAGCTGGTACGGACATCACAAAGGTGTCAAGGAGGTACGCGCCCATATCTGTTTCTCCATTGCATGGCGACTTCTAAGAAAACACCTCTTCAGTTGAGCTTTCAGTCTATCTTTATAACTCAAGTTAACTAGAGGGGCTCTTCCCACAATTTGCGCGTCGCACAGTCGTGCAAAGGAACTCTCCAGAACCCATGCTCCTCCCGAAAATGCTAGCTGCTCGACATGCCTTATGCATACCTTGGCAAATCCCGGCCTTGCCGTGGCACTTCGCCTCCTCTGTCTGCCTGGGCCTCCTCTGGATGCTCCTCCGTGCCACCCGGCCCTTCCTCGAAAAAGGCAAACTGCAGTGAAGAGCCATCCAAATCCCCGGCTCCACGGTCGCCGCCTGCAAAAAAAAGAGGCAATACATTGTTCATACCCTGCAACTATCCTCACAACCGTCAAATTGTTCCAGTCGATGCCCAAAACACAAGATGCTAACACCGCTAGCAATGGCTCCAAAGATCAAACAATCCGCAATGGCGCCCAAGCCTTGGTGTGCCAGCTCACCTTCCCTGCCCTGAAGCTCTGGCTGCTCCTCCGTGCCACCCGGGCCCTCCTCGTCAAAGCAGGCAAACTGCAACGAAGAGCCGTCCAGATCTGCGGCTGCACGGTCGCCACCGCCTAGAAAAAGCTGGAAAATGACATCACAAAAGTGTCAGCGCTGATAGCTGTTTCTCCATTGCATGGAGACTTCTAAGCAAATACCTCTATGGATGACCATCCAATCTAACTTTATTTCTCCAAACAACTGGAGGGGCTCTTCTCACAATTTGCCCGTCACACAGTTCAAGGAACTCTCAAGAACACATGCTTCTCCCCAGAATGCTAGCTGCTCGGCATGCCTGATGCATATCTCGGCAAATCCTGGCCTTGCCGTGGCATTTCGCCTCCTCTGTCTGCCTGGACCTCTTCCGGATGCTCCTCCGTGCCACCCGGTCCTTCCTCGAAAAAGGCGAACTGCAGTGAAGAGCCATCCAAATCCCCGGCTCCACGGTCGCTGCCTGCAACAAAAAACGGCAATACATTGATCGGTCAATTGCTCCAGCCAAAACACAAGATGCTAACATAGCCAACAATGGCCCCAAAGATCAAACAATCTGCACATGCCAATGGCGCCCAAGCCTTGGTGTGCCAGCTCACCTTCCCTGCCCTGAAGCTCTGGATGCTCCTCCGTGCCACCCGGGCCCTCCTCGCGAAAGGAGGCGAACTGCAACGAAGAGCCGTCCAGATCTGCGGCTGCACGGTCGCCACCGCCTAGAAAAAGCTGGAAAATGACATCAACTTCAACACAAGGGTGTCAAGGGTGTAAGCGATCATATCCTTTTCTCGATGGCATGGCGACTTCTAAACAAACACCTCTCTAGTTGAACATCCATTCTACCTTTATGCCTCAAGTTAACTAGAGGGGACGTCACACAGTCGGTTTTCAGGCTGTGACAAATCGCCTCCGCTGTCTGCCTGGACCTCTTCCGGATGTTCCTCCGTGCCACCTGGCCCTTCTTCGAAAAAGGCAAACTGCAGCGAAGAGCCTTCCAAATCCCCGGCGTCACAGTCGCCGCCTGCAAAAAGCTGGCCCAACGCCCGCAACACAAACAACTTGATTCCGGATTGAAGGGTGCAGTACCTTGAATACAACCAGAGTCCCATTCTGCAAGCAATGCCTGATATACCTATGCCTGCCGCTACGGACTGAAAACCGGCCAGAATGCTCAGGCACGTTCAGCACTACGCACGCTCAGCACCAATCCCTCAGCGCAGAAAACCTGTTCCCCTCGCGTCACATTCCAAATGACAAGCACAACCGTTGTACCGCACGCTCGCACCCGCGTACTAAATGACACTCGTTTTGCGGTAGCCCCGCACGACGGAGCTTCGCATGCCAAATGCTAAGTACACAAGTTCTACGCACACCAATACTACTCTACCGGCGCACGACGGAGGACAAGCGACAAGCGGCTTGCCAAATGATAAGCACAGCAGCACACCCATTATACCGACAGAGCGCCCACACCCTTTGTACTGAACCCCCGCACGAAGGAGCACCTGCATGCCAAATGATAGGCCCACCCGTTCTACTGTACCCCCGCACGACGAAGCCGATTCTTGGAAGGTACAGTCAACCAGAACATCATCAACTTGCCACTTGAAACGACTTTGGGTACCGTGCAGCGCCGGATGGTTTTCAGTCCGCGGGGTTTATTGTGAGTGGCACCCTGCTTGGTTTTTCCTCGCCTCTGCCCTCTGGCTCCGTGCCGCCTGGACCCTCTTTGCTGGAGCCGCCCAAATCAGCTGCACGGTCGTCCCCTGCGAAAAGACATCCAAACGGATCAGCAAGGTGGCGCATGTTGTCTTCAGACGCTCGAGCCATGGGACAACCTCTCAACCTGTGACATGCCATTAAATTTATCAAATTACTGAACTTGCTGAACTGCCGTTTAATTGCCCTTCTTCAGAATCAAGCCAGGTCAGCCAGCTTCCTCAGAAACGTCAGACCTCAGAAAGTATCTCATGCCTGGAGCTTGAGTCACACATCCGTATACGTGCAAGATGTCACCCGGCACCCAGGCCTCTCTGTGGCAGCTCACCTTTGTCCGCCAGCTCTGGATGCTCATCCGTGCCACCTGGGCCCTCCTCACGGAAGGCGAACTGTGGCAAAACGCCGTCCGAATCTGTGCCCGGGAGGTCGTCACCACCTGAGGCAAGCCACAAGCATAGAACAAATGTCAGGAGATCGCAAATCGATGTTGAACAAGTTACCTTCGGGGACTTCAAACCACAATGTGTGTGAGTATCTGCGTAGCATTCGGACTAGCAGTTGCAGCTCAACAACAACGCAATGCGTGTTGTGAGTGGCACCCCAGGCACGCCTCTCTCTGCCTGGACCTCTTCCGGACGCTCGTCGGTGCCAGCGCCCTCCTCGGGTCCGGAAGAGCCGAGCGGCAAGTCCAGATCTGCACGGTCGCTGTCGCAACCTGCAAAGCCCATGATAGAACCATCCCCATGCTGACAAACATCCCAAACACCATTCCATGATTCCATGTATTTCAGATCGTGGGCAGGCCCCCTGCAGGCTCTGGTTTCATTCATGGCGCCTGGCCTCGCAGCGGTGGCTCGCCGGCTCTGTCTGCCGTGACCTCTTCCGGATGCTGCTCTATGCCGCCTGTGCCCTCTTCAGGGAAAGCGGCGAACTGTGGCGCGACGCCGTCCAGATCCGTAGCCGTACGGTCGTCACTGCCTGCAGGAGGAATTGACACCCTCATTCCATAACACACACGGCATGCACACACGCACACACACACACACACTAATTCATTAAATTTAGAACTCTCCTCTCTTTCCAATTCTGGACATGGACCATCAAAGACCATCTTCCGAAAGGCATGTCCAGTCACCCTATGGCGTGGCCTAAACGGACAACGCCTGGCAAACATGAAAAATGGACATAGTCTGGCTCCTTGACGTCTGGAATTCCTTCATCAACAATTGGTCTGCCTCCATTTGCTTAAGTCCCCTGAAAAAACAAAAAACAAAAAAACGTCCAGTAGTGATAGGTTCCCTTTAAAACCAACAGGGGAAAATCAAACATATTCTTAACCAAATGGAAGTCTGTCTTTCTGTTTGTTCTGCCCAGGGAGCAGCATCCTGGCGGCCTGCCTCTGAGCTCGGGCTCACTGCCTGGGCCCTCGCTGGAGCCGAGCGAGAAGCCGCCCGAATCAGCTGCACGGTCCCCTGCGAAAAGCCAGGTTTTGGGGGCGGGTGCAGATGGGATTTCGGGAAGCATGCGGGGAGCAGTGTATTTTGACGACTCGCATCGTTGAGAAAACTAGCAATCTCTCCTTCAGCATTGCTGGGAAAACCTGGACGCTGGGCTGAATGACGCCCAGGGTGAAAAACCAACCATCCTTTCAAGCCTACTTATGGACAAGGGGAACCCGGGCAAAGACCACCTAAGGGGCAGGCGTGCAGGGTGACATCTTACTCTACCCTCGAGCAACTCAAGCACAAACCGGCGCAAAGGTGACAAGGTGGGTGCACTTTATGCGCTGCTCCCACCAAACACGGAACCACCCTGAAAGATGCCTTCACATGAAAACATGAAGGGAAACTTTCCAGAACACGTGGGTGTGGGTCAACATTCTGGTGCGGAACGTTCCGTGGTGACGAGTCGGTTACGCAAGGTCTGTTGTTCCGGACCTCCGGGAAGAAATGTGGAGCCCTAAGCACGTGTTCATTTAGCGCAAGATGCATGGAGGGAGGGGTGGGTGGGTGAATGGACGAAAGAGGTGAGCAGGGGCGGCCAAAGTTTGTGCATAGAAATCTGGCGCCGATATGCTGCTCTTTTCTTACCCGCAAGCCGAGACTGTGTCTCAGGGTATAACTTTTGAAGGTTGGCGCGAGTCACCACCTCCTGAAGTCACAAGGGTGAACCCGAGTGCTGACGTCCGTCCCAAGCATGAATCTGGGTGGCGAAATTGCTCCGCTGCGTCTGGAACAAGTCTGGAACGGGGTCTGGAACAGTTGCGCGGCTGGCTTGGATGTTTGGAATGCGACCCGCCGACACAAGACAGCATGTTTGGCGCAAGAAAAGCCAAACAACTGCAAGTTCGGGAGAAAACACCACGCTCTGGAGCCATTGTTGCTGCTGCAGGCCTGCTTGCAAACACAGTTAGCAAAACACAGAAAAACACGTATTCCACCTGCTCCTGCGTGCACAAGGGGCAGCACCCAAGAGAATGACAACCTGAATTAAACAGGTCTGGAACGCAAGGTCTGAAACATGTTTCTAGGCAAGGTTTGGAACGAAGGTCTGGAACGAATGTGGGTTCCGCACCCTGTTCCGGACCTTGTGAATTGACCCGGAACAACATGTTCGTTCCACAAATGCAAGCTGCATGTAAAATGCATCTGCCGCATATCCGTGCCTTGGCGTGGCAGCTCACCTCCCCTGTCCGCCTGGAGCTCTTCTGCATGCTCCTCCGCGCCATCTGCGTCGCCAAAAGAGGCGAACTGGGGCGAGAAGCCGTCCAAATCCGCGGCCACACGGTCGTCACCGCCTGTGCAAAACCCATGTGCAACATTGAACATGTTTGCTGTTTGCAACTGAAGGATGTGACAGTCTGTTTCCCAAACAAGATTGCGGTTTGCCTCGCCACATCCTAGGCCAAATCCAATCCATTTGTCATAGGCAAAAAAGCCGAACCGTGCTCCTGTCTCGTATTGTTGTGTTGATGCCTCGGCTTGCAAGCCGACCGGCACGCAACACGCCGCTTCACGTTAGCTTCAAAAACAACACCTGGCCACAATAAACAATGGAAACATTGCCTCTGAAGCAAAAACAAAAGTGCCACCCTGCCTCGCCGTGGCAGCTCACCTCCCCTGTCCGCCTGGAGCTCTTCCGCATGCTCCTCTGCGCCATCCGTGCCGCCGAAAGAGGCGAACTGGGGCGAGAAGCCGTCCAAATCCGCGGCCGCACGGTCGTCACCGTCTGTGGAAAGCTATGCGCAAAGTGGTATGCCAGCTTCATGGATTTGCCAGAACATGCTTGTCGTCTGCAACTTAAGGATGTGACAGTCTGTTTCCCAAACATGATTGCGGTTTGCCTCGTCACATCCTAGGCCTCATCAATTCCGTGTCATGGGCCAAAAAAAAAAAACGAACCGTGCTCCTGTCTCTTATAGTTGTGTTGATGCCTCGGCTTGCAAGCCGACCGGCACGCAACACGCCGCTTCACGAGAACTTCAAAAACAACACCTGGCCAGAATGAACAATGGACACATTGCCTCTGAACAAAAACACAATTGCCCCTGCCTCGCCGTGGCAGCTCACCTCCCCTGTCCGCCTGGAGCTCTTCTGCATGCTCCTCCGCGCCATCCGTGCCGCCAAAAGAGGCGAACTGGGGCGAGAAGCCGTCGAAATTGGCGGCCGCACGGTCGTCACCGCCTGTGGAAAGCTATGTGCAAAATTGAACATGTTAGATGTTTGCAACTCTAGGATATAACAGTCTGTTTCCCAAATGATTGCGGTTTGCCTTGCACATCCTGGGTCCAATCAATTCCGTGTGTCATAGGCATTGTACCGAACCGCGTTCATGTCTCTTATTGTTGTGTTGATGCCTCGGCTTGCAAGCCGACCGGAAGGCAACACGCCGCTTCACGAGAACTGTAAAGCAACACCTGGCCAGAATGAACAATGGAAACATTGCCTCTGAACAAAAAAAAAAACAAGTGCCACCCCTGCCTCGTCGTGGCAGCTCACCTCCCCTGTCCGCCTGGAGCTCTTCTGCGTGCTCCTCTGCGCCATCTGTGCCGCCAAAAGAGGCGAACTGGGGCGAGAAGCCGTCCAAATCCGCGGCCGCACGGTCGTCACCGCCTGTGGAAAGCTATGTGCAACATGGTATGCCAGCTTCATAGATTTGCCAGAACATGTTTGCCGTGTGCAACTGAAGGATGTGACAGTCTGCTTCCCACAAACGAACAAGCGGTGATACGGAGGGAGCGGGGATACAGGGGGATTCCCTTGGCGCCATTTCCAATATCAAACAAAGTCAAGGTGCATTTAGGGGAATCCTCCCGTATCAATGGTTCCCCCTGTATCCCTGCTAGTTGGTTTCCTGAATGATTGTGGTTTGCCTTGTCACATCCTAATTAGGCCTAATCCATTCCTTGTGTCATAGGTATGGTACCGAACCGTGTTCGTGTCTCATATTGCTGCGTTGATGCCTCGGCTTGCAAGCTGACCGGCACGCAACACGCCGCTTCACGAGAACTTCAAAAACTACGCGTGGCCACACTGAACAATGGAAAGGATGCCTCCTGAACAAACACAAAAGTGTCCCTGCCTCGCCGTGGCAGCTCACCTCCCCTGTCCGCCTGGAGCTCTTCCGCATGCTCCTCTGCGCCATCCGTGCCGCCGAAAGAGGCGAACTGGGGCGAGAAGCCGTCGAAATTGGCGGCCGCACGGTCGTCACCGCCTGAAGAAAGCTATTCAGCTTCATGGATTTGCTGTTGTTGAAACCAAACACCTGGTTAGTTACCCGGGAAACAGGAATATTCCACAACTTCGCTCAAACTCAATGCAAGCGGGTTCTTAAACGCATGCAGCTTGCTTCTCTTGCAGGAAGATCTTTTCGGAACCTTTTTCTAGTCAGAGGATCGGCATTTCGCAATTCTGGATTGCTGTCGGTTTGACAATCTGCCTGTTTGCGGAAGCCTGCCATGACAGGTGTGCTCTTAGATTAGGGCATGTCCAGGGTTGTGAGTTACACTGAGTGCTTCTTTTGCAGGAAGATTCCTTCAGAATCTGTTTCTAGTCAAAGGATCGGCATTTTGGTTGCTTTCAGCTTAACAATCTATCCTGCATGGCAGGTGTGCTCTTAGATTGGGGCATGTCAGGGGGTGTGAGTTACATACAGTGTTTCAACGGCAATGTAGCAGGTGCCTAGAACATTTTTGCAATTTGCAACTGAAGGATGTGAGTCTGTTACCCAAACATGAATTGCGGATTGCCTCGTCACATCCTAGGCCTAATCAATTCCGTGTGTCATAGGCCCTATACCGAACCGTGCTCCTGTCTCTTATAGTTGTGTTGATGCCTCGGCTTGCAAGCCGATCGGCACGCAACACGCCGCTTCACGAGAACTTCAAAAACAACACCTGGCCAGAATGAACAATGGACACATTGCCTCTGAACAAAAAAAACAAGTGCCCCTGCCTCGTCGTGGCAGCTCACCTCCCCTGTCCGCCTGGAGCTCTTCTGCGTGCTCCTCTGCGCCATCTGTGCCGCCAAAAGAGGCGAACTGGGGCGAGAAGCCGTCCAATCTCGCGGCCGCACGGTCGTCACTGCCTGTGGAAAGCTATGTGCAAAATTGAACATGTTTGTTGCGTTTGCAACTCTAGGATGTGACAGTCTGTTTCCCAAATGATTGCGGTTTGCCTTGTCACACCCAAGGCCTAATCAATTCCGTGTGTCATAGGCATGAAACCGAACCGCGTTCCTGTCTCTTATTGTTGCGTTGGTGCCTCGGCTTGCAAGCTGACCGGCACGCAACAAGCCGCTTCACGAGAACTTTAAAAACAACACCTGGCCACAATAAACAATATGGAAACATTGCCTCTGAACAAAAAACAAGTGCCACCCCTGCCTCGTCGTGGCAGCTCACCTCCCCTGTCCGCCTGGAGCTCTTCTGTGTGCTCCTCTGCGCCATCTGTGCCGCCAAAAGAGGCGAACTGGAACGAGAAGCCGTCCAATCTCGCGGCCGCACGGTCGTTACCGCCTGGCTTGTTTCGAGGCGCAGATTTCAGCATGGGGCACTCGTCACTCTTGACATTGCTTTCAGAAGGTTGCAATCTATTCAACATGGCTAGTTGCTTGTTACCATGGAAACTTGGAACCCGAACCTTAAGGAAAGTGCTGCCAAAATGTGCAACACGTTGCTTGAACAAGACGACCAGCACCTTTCTGGCGGGAAAGCAAGTATGACACCACTTCTCTCTGAAAGAGAGGGGGTGATAAGGGGTGTCCGTGCCTCTGAAAGAGAGGGGGTGATAAGGGGTGTCCGTGCCTTGACGTTGCAGCTCACCTCCCCGGTCTGCCTGGAGCTCTTCCGGATGCTCTTCTGTGCCGCCCGAGTTGCTTAGCCCTGGCCGAAGGCTGGCATCAAATTCCAGGGCGCGATTTGGGGCGGCGCCTGAGTCGGCTTGCAGCCGGCGCCCGTAGCCTCCACTGTCACCACTCCCGCCACTTCCCACTGCCCACCCGTCGTCGTGGCCGGTACCAGCGCTGGGCACGCTGGGCATGGAGGGAGGCCCG